ACAAAAATATATATAAAGACAATTAATATGCAGAAAAAATAAGAACACAAAAATTGAAAGGAATAAGCACTATTGTAATTCAGAAAACAAGTCAAAACTTGATTACACTCTCTTTTCTCTTGCTCTCTCTAAAAATCAATATGATCCTACTTAAACATATGTGTGTGTTTGTGTGTGTGTGTGTGTGTATATATATATATATATATATATATATATATATATATATATATATGGCTAAATAGAAGCCTATTTGATTACAACTTGCCATATAAACGACTTTCTTGATCCCTAAGCAAATTAGATTTCCTTAAGTACTAAGCAACTTCTTAAGACTCCTTGTTTCCTAAGGATTAAATTTTCCTACACCTTATCATATATAGAAGGGATTTAGTCAGAAACTACTAATAATCACCTCCTAATTTTTGAATGGAAATTATGAGGTCTTCAACTCCTAGCAGCTTGCGCATCTCAACGAACTTTATCTTAGCTAATGCCTTTGTCAAAATGTCAACTCGTTGTTCCTTTCTACTTACATGCTCGATTGCGCTCTCCTTGTCTTCAACTCTTTCTCGTATGTAGTGGAAATATGATTTGATGTGCTTGCTCCGGCCATGAAAAATTGGATTTGTTATTAATGCAATTGTCGATGTGTTGTCAATTTTAATTACCACTTCTTGTACTTAAGACCCAATTATTTCTCCCAAAAGATCTCATAACCAAACAACTTAACAACTTGCTGCAGAAGCATCCAAATATTTAGCTTCACAAGATGATAAAGCCACTATTTTTTGTTTTTGAGAGCACCATATGATTGGTGATTCACCAAAGTAAAATACATGTCCGGTGGTACTTATTCCATCATCTTGATCAATGTTGTGACTGCTATCATAATATCCAACCAATCTTTCTAGATTATTATGATTGTAACGTATCGTATATGTGATAATTCCTTTTACATATCTTAATCTTTGTTTTATCGCAGCCATGTGTGACTTCTTTGGAGTTTGCATGTAATGACTTGCTATGCCAACTGGGTAAGCTAAACCATCCCTTGTTTGAAGCAAATATCTCAATCTTCTAACTATTCTTCGATATTTCATTGAATCTATGTCTTCCCCATCTTCTCCTTTTAAGAACTTTGCATTTGGATCTATTGGAACTAGAGTAGGATAACTGTCATACATTCTCGCGTCTTTGAGCACCTTTTTTGCATACCGTTCTTGCGTTATTAGTATGTTATCCTTCTTTTGATATACCTTTATTCCTAGGTAGTAACGTAATATTACCTTATCACACATGTCAAAGTTTGTTGCCATTGCTCGCTTGACGTTGTTTATAATTGACATGTTCGTTCTCGTAACAACCAAGTCATCAAGGAGCTTGCTCCAACTAGGATTAGATCATATTCTATCTTCCTTCGGTATACAGCTTATTCTTGAACGCACCTTTGGAACTTCATATTTTTAAGAAACCCGTCAAACTTCATGTTCCATGTTCAAGGAGCTTGACGTAGACCATATAACGCTTGTATGAGCTTGAATACTAAATTCATTTTATCTTTTCCTTGTTTTTCGAAATTTTCATGTTGTTTTACACATATTTCCACTTGCAATTTGCCATGTAGAAATGTAGATTTTTCATGGAGATGATGTAGCTCCCAACCTTTGGAAGCAACTAGTTCTATTATAATTCTAATCGTTTTGATTCATGCTATCGGTGCAAAAACTTCTTCAAAATTGATACCGTGTTGTTGGAGATATCATGTTGCTACAATTCTAGCCTTGTACTTGCTAATTGAGCCAGTTGCATCTATTTTTACCTTATAGACCCATTTTAAACCAATAATAGTTGTGTTGCTTGGTCTTTTTACAAGTCTCCAAGTTCCATTCTTTTCAACAGATATGATTTCTTCTTCCATTGGTTTACCCATAATGGATTTGTCTTGGCTTCATAATAGGTTGTCGGTTCATCTTTATTAAGAGCCACTAGTAGCTCATGATTCTCTATGAAAAAATCAACTTCAAAATCATTAATCTTTAGGAAATTATGTGTTGACATTTGACCTTCGTACTTGTGGAACATCATCTTGTATAATCGTTGGAGTTGACATCAAATGTAGTCTTGACTCATTTTCTTCACCATGCTCGGTTTCGCTTGTAACTTTGTGTGCTTCACTGTCTACCGGTCCACTTCCATTGTCAACCAACTTCGACCAATGAACCCAAAACATCTTGGGGTTTTGTGTAGTCTTGTCTTATTTTCCTCAATTCCAACTTGAGTTTTCATCAAACATGACATCTCGTGACACTGTGATTTTTTTCAGTTTTGGATCATATAATGATAAGCTTTGGAACCAGGTTCGGACCAAAAATACACCATTTTTTTGGTCGATCATCTAGCTTCTTCTGGTGAGGAGTTGTGATTTTTACATAAGCTAGTGACCCAAAATTCGTAAGTGTTCGATATTAGGCTTACGGTGATAGAATTTCTCATACGGAGTCAAATTCTTTAAAGATTTTGTTGGTAACCTATTTATAATATAGGTTGCATGTCAAATTGCCTCTCCCAAAAGAAATTTTGGGACATTTTTGGCTTTTATCAAGCTTCGTGTCATCTCAAGGAGTGTATAATTTCCTCTTTAGACCACCCCATTTTGTTGTAGTATGTATGGAGCCGTGAGGTGTCGCATCATACCTTCGTCTTCACAAAGCTTGTTGAATTCCTGTGAAGTGAACACTCCTCCTTTGTCTGTGCAAAAAACCTTTGACAAGTTACTTTTTTTCCATAACTGAAATATTCTCAATGTTGGTATGCCCTAGTCTAGCATGCCATAGCTATGATTTCTCACTAAGACATGTGTGTAAGCAAATTGGCTTTCCATCTTTGATTTTTGTATTGTAGAGATGATTTCCAAAACATTTTACTTTAAATAGAAGAATATTTCAGTTATCATAAATGTGTAGATAATCACCTTTCAATGATACGTCACACCCAATTTTGGTAATATTAGTTATATGGTTCTAAATATAATATATATCAGTTAATAATTTCTTGCTTCCCTCTTCACCCTCGAACAAAAAAGAACATTTTCCATGTATCTCGACAAAAAGAGACATCACCAAATTTCACTCCACCTCTAATTATTTCATTAAGTTCGGTAAAGAAATATAGATTACCTGTCATGTGATTACATGCACCGTTTTCCAAGTACCAAGTATCGTTGTTGTTTTCTTCATTCTCAGATTTTCTTGGTATGACACCTTCATTCAAGAAAACTATCTCGTAGAGGGTTTGAACCAATAAAAAGATGCGGATCATGATCTTTAACGTCAGATACATGCGCTTCTTCTTTCATGGTTTTTCGTTTCAGACATTGTGATGAAAAGTGACCAAACTTTTCACACCTATAACATTGGACATTGGAGCGATCCTTAAGGTTTATTAATAGGAATTGTTGTGTCGACCTCCATGTCCTCCATGTCCCCCACCACGACTCGATTCTCCACCTCGAGAGGAAGTCTCAATTTTGTTGACAAGAGTTTGTTTTGTTCATTTATTGGCTCACTTTCTCGAATGTGTTCTTCGTAAGCTTTCAAGCATCCAACCACATCTTCGAATCCAACCGTCTTTAGATTTAGAACTTGTTCGATTGAAGCAATAATATGGATAAACCTTCTTGGTAAAATTGTAAAAAATTTCTTAACAAGTTTACTTAAGGATATTGTTTCGCCAAGACAAGTAGACTTTGACAAGATGTTAGATAACTGACTTGCAAACTCATCGATTGTACTTGATTCTTCATCTTCAAGTAACAAAATTCGCTTATTAAGGTTGTAATGAGCTTCTCTTACCCTGTCTGCTCCAAGGTGGCGAATTTTGAAGGCTACCCATATATCCTTTGTCGTACTCATCATGCCAACTTACAAGATTAAGTCTTCGGGGATTGCTTGGAATAAAATTGCAATTGATGCATTGTTTCTCTTGACATATGTCGTTCCTGGATCAACATCATCCCAAAATTGGTGAACATTGAAGATTATTTTCATACGGATTGCCCTCACAGTATAGTTAGTCCCCGTGAGCATTGGAACGTGGAATGAGAATGCTGAATTATCATTCTTTCCGAACGTGCTTCGATCCACTGGACCTGTCATGCTTGGTGGATTGGTTTTCTCCTTCTAGATCTGATACCAATTGAAAAACAATTAATATGCAGAAAAAATAAGTAAACGAAAATTGAAAGGAATAAACTCTTATTGTAATTCTGAAAAGAACTCAAAACTAGATTACAATCTATCATCTTTTGCTCTCTCTAAAAATCGATATGATCCTACTTGAACATATATATATATATATATATATATATATATATATATATATATATATATATATATATATATATATATATATATATATACTACTTGATTACAACTTGCAATATAAATGATTTGCTTGATCCCTAAGCAACTTCTTAAGACTACTTGTTGCCTAAGGAATAAACCTTCCTACACCTCATCGTGTATTGAAAGAGCATAATCGGAAACTACTAATATATATAACTATTTATTTATTTTGAGAATGTACAAGGTTCGCAATTTCTGTTAAAAATGGGAAGAAGACACCAATATTTGCAAAAACGAGTAAATTCTACTTCTTGCAACGAAAATAACCTACATATTGCCTTTAACTAGAAAATCCGGTATTCCATATCAATAATGTAGTGATTAACCCTCAAATAATGAATTAGAATTTCCATTTATTGATCATTGATCATGTTTGTGACAACTAGTTGCTTCAATTCGTAAACAAATATTACATCTCAATAATTCATTTCTTTAATTTAGAACCTTTTTATATGTATAAAAACAGCACACCGACAAGAAAAATACAAAACACATACAATCAAGACTTTACCCATATCAAACCTAAATCATTTAAGAAAAAATACCATTTAACATTCTGGTGTTTGGGTGTGGTCCCTTTTTGGATCACTACAATAATCATACACTTTGTAGTTCCTTTGAACCCATTGCATCGCGGCCACTTGCTGGTGGCTCAGCCCTCCGGTGGTGGCTGGAGAACCAGAAGGAGGCTGGCAAGATTGCTTTGAATCAGCGGCACAACCGTTGAGCCTGAAGTTGGTATACCTACCAACAAAAGGTTGGTACCCGTAGTTTACTTTGTATCTACCGTTCTCAGTGGCCCATGAAGATGCGTCCCAGATGGATCCGTACACGTACATAGGTCTTAATGGAAATGTTGTGTCGCTTTTCCTCTCGTATCTTCTAATTGGCACATCATCTACTAAAAATCTGCATAATTTCATTTAGAAAGATCATGACATTTAATCTTTTGTTTTTGTCTCTATTACACCAGAATTAGCTTGTTATGGTCAGTAATGTTCTACGAAAAGGTCTCTCTCTCTCTCTCTCTCTCTCTCTCTCTCTCTCTCTCTCTCTCTCTATATATATATATATATATATATATATATATATATATATATATATATATATATATATATATATATATATTCTTTGGTGTTAAAAAAACCGTTGCACATACAATATATAGGCCACACTTACAAAAAGTGTTTGTGTTCTCAGCAAATTGTTGCATTAGGCCTAATCAGGCAACGACACCTAAAGTGTTGCATAGGCGTAAAGCACCGTTTTCAAGAATTAATATAACAGTTTCGAGGTGTCTCGTTAATTTCATTTAGTTGCGGCGTTATCGATAAAAATGTTCATATAAGAACAATTTATATCTAAACACAAAGGTTAAGACATGTCTTTTAAGTAATATGTGATTTATTTATGTAACACTTATGAAAAAATTATAATGATATATGTTAATAATTAATTTGTTTTTTTTAACCGACAAATCTAATTTAATCCTATTTCACTTATGTGCACGACAGAACTTGAACCCTTGAATTCAAAAAGAAAGGGCAACACCCGTTATGATTTATTTAAGTTAATAATTAATTTTGTGGCTTTATATTTAATACCTAACCCCATATAATTATTAGAAATAAGTTAATGTTCAATTTGAAACCGATTTGACCACTAAATTAACAATAAATATACTATGTGCAGTTGTCTTTGTTTTCTTTCGTTATATATATATATATATATATATATATATATATATATATATATATATATATATATATATATATATATATATATATATATATATATATAGGATATAGATCCGGTAAGAAATTTTTTTGGTAGGAAGGTAAGAAGTTTTTTTTCTACATATTTTTTTGACGAACAAAATAAATGAATCACTAGATGATTCATTTCTAAGATGATTCACAAGAAAAAATTCTCAAAAAACATCTTTATAATTCATTTTTAAGTAAATTAAGAAAAAATTCATTTTTATGATAATTTTAGTGAATAACAACAAAATCATTGTATAAATGAATCATAAAGATGTTTTTTTGAGAATTTTTTCTTGTGAATCATCTTAGAAATGAATCATCTAATGATTCATTGATTTTGTTCGTCAAAAAAATATGTAGAAAAAAAACTTCTTACCTTCCTACCAAAAATTTTCTTCTTATTTGATCTTGACTCTATATATATATATATATATATATATATATATAAAATGTTTTAATTTTCTTGTTTATGTTACATATAGTAACACGACCCACAAATAAAAAGTTATAAAAAACCGAAATATGGAACCAAATATTCGTAGAAAACAAACATGATTTCTTTGGGTGTCCAAAGCATCGCATAATGGTGAAAATCCTCAGTAGGATCGAACCATAGGTGAAATTGCTCTTCTCGTCCTATGATGTGCCCATCTCCACTTCCTCTTATGTACACGTTCGTTTGTAACGTATAAGGTTTATCAGGCGTTCTCCCTAAGAACTCGATGTCAACTTCATCATGATTTCCTGGGTGATCCTCATTATTCGAAAGCTGTGCAAGCATTCATTGATCCAAGCACAAAAAACCACCATCAAAATATAGATCAGAAAATCATACATATCATGCATAAAAATTATAGATTTATGTTGTAAGTAAATTTCAAGTTCATACGCACGTAAAACGATGTGATAACTCCAGCAGTGTAACCAGGGTGAAGCTTTACATCAGTCCCGAAGTAACCAGATTTGTACGATTCTATCGACTTAAAACCGCTTCCTATAACAATAAAAAGTACGATATATGAAGTTATGGACTATATAATTCATAAATGTATGCATGCTAGGTGTCAGCCTAGCTAGATAGCATATATACTAACCCGAAGACTTGTCGAGCCATATGGTGAGTGAACTTTGGTCGAGCCGCTGGTTCTGTGGGCCCCATAAATTCTTATAAGCTTGATTAAAGGCTATGGTGTCAACCCTAGAGCTAGGGTAATAGCCAGGCGAGGGTGGGTTTCCCTGAGCGTTGGCTAAAGAATTGAACATGAAAAGAAGTAGGAAAAAGGTTGCCATGTTGGGAATAAAAAGATGTATGATCTGCTTAAATGGACGTACAATAGATAGGGTGAAATGGGAAGCATGCATACAGACCACATTTGGTGGGATAGGGTATAAATAAGAAGATTATGTAGGACCCATTCATGCAATATTATTAAAATTTTGGGTTGATGTTATGAATTATTATTTACTGAATGATTATTGGATTTTTTATATTTTCTCGTTAACATTATAGCATATATTATTATAAGTTTTATGAGTGTAGTTATGCACCAATATAATAAGCATTCATATCATATATCATCTTTCATCTTCTTTGTCTAGTATAAATAGTGAATATTATGTATTGTAAAGTTTGATGATTTCATCACAAGTATTGGAATAAAAGTTCTCTCTACTCTCATGTTTTTCTTTACTTTATAATTTATCTTGTTATTTGATTATATTTTATAACACGTTATCAGCACGACTCTACCATAGAGCTCTAACTCTTTATCACTTTTGTTATTTTCAGGTATGTATTTTTTCTAATTTCACATGTACAATGATTACATATTATTTTATGAAATTTATTAACTAAAAATTCCTTAAGTTACAAGTCTTTATTTTGATTAGTATTTTCACTATGGAAAACTATGTTATGTTAGAGAAAACTTTCTCTACTTTCAATGCCACCAACATGCTCCTAAAGCAGCAATATCGTGAGAAAGATTTAAAAAAGAATCTGAATTAATCTCATATCTTACTATGGCTAAACAAAAAAAAAGTTATTGATGAAAAATCACCAATCAATCCCGACCGATTCTAGTGCATTTCCTGAAGTGAATGCAACATCATATAATCATAATAGTCATGGGTCTAACCGAGGTCGTGGAGGTTATCATGATTATCATAAAAATAACAAGATTACAAGTAACCACAATAAGTTGGAAAATAGCAAAAATCCACATCCTAATGATAAAGTAGTCAAGGAAAAAAAAAGTTGAAAATGTTTGTCCCTGATGTGGAATGATCGATCATTGGTCTTGTACATGCCACTTACCAAAGCATTTTGTTGATCTTTATCAAACTTATCTAAAATCTAAAGAAAAATAAAATATCAAAACAAATTTTATTCAAAGTGATATTCATGAAGATCAACTAGAAATGACACATTTGGATGTTGCCGATTTTCTTGTCTACCTAGAAGGGACAAGTGGTGATATGGATTGTGATTGATCAGAATAATATGTAGTTTTGTTTCATGTCATTTATTATGTTATTATGCCATATTCATATTGTGAGAAATTCTGTAATCACAACCTTATCAATGAAATAAAAAATGAATTTATTTCTCTAAGTTGAATGTTTCTTATGTTTTATTTATATACTGAAAAGAACTATGGATATTTGCAAAAGAAATAATGAATATATATTTCTTGCAGACACTGCAATAACACATAACATTTTTAATAATGAAAAGTATTTTGCTTACTTATCAATTAGAGAAGCAAATATTAATATAATAACGGGTAATGCAAAAATGATTGAAGACTCCAGAAGAACGAATATAATATTACAACAAAGGACACTAATTACAAATTAGTGATGCATTATTTTCGTCTAAATCACCAAGATTGAAGGCTTCGGAAGAGTGAATATAGTATTACCACAAGTAACAATAATTACAATTGATGATACATTATTTTCATTAAAATCATCAAGAAATTTATTAATTTTAAAGATATTCGGTCTAACGAATATCATATTAAAACAACTAATGATGGTAATAAAAATTATCTCGATATTACAAAAATGATATCGGGTAAGAAAGGTTTTTTAAAAAAAATTACATGTATTATTCTCCGGATTGTATTATACAAATATTATAATGATTGAATCTCATTATATTGAAAATAAAAGGTATGATAATACCTTCAAAGTTTGGCATGACCGGTTGGGCCATCTCGGATGAATTATGGTATGTAGAATAAATGAAACTTCAAGTGGTCATTCCTTGAAAAACCAGAAGATTTTTCAAGATAATGAATTGTCTTGTGCTGCATGCTCTCAAGGAAAATTAATTTCCCATCCATCATTGAACAAAGTTGGGTATGAAAGTCGTAGTTTTATAAAAAATTCAAAGGGATATGTGTGGACCAATTCAACTACCATGTGGACCATTTAGATATTTTATGGTTTTAATTGATGAGTCAACTAGATGGTCACATGTGTGCTTGTTGTCTAGCTGTAATTTGGTTTTTGCAATATTACTTGCATAAATAATCAGCCTAAGGGCACATTTCCACGATTACCCAATTAAGATAATTCAACTTGACAATGCTGCAAAATTTTCATTACAAGCTATTAACGATTATTGCATGTCGATTGGATCGAACATCCTGTTACACATGTTCGTACGCAAAATGGTCAAATTGATTAATTAATCAAACACCTGTAATTAATTGCAAGACCATTACTAATGCATTATAAACTTTATAATCAACATAAGGGCATGAAATTTTACGTGCAACATCACTTATATGTATAATGCCAACTAGTTATCATGAGTTCTCCCCTATTTAATTGGTTTGCGGTCAGGAACCAAATATTTACCATCCAAGGATATTTGGATGTACAATTTATGTACCCATTTCTCCACCTCACTTCACAAAAATGGGTCCTCAAAAAGAATGAGAATTTATGTTGGTTATGAATCTCCATCTATAGTAAAATATTTAAAATCATCAACTAAAGATTTATTTACAACTATATTTGATGATTAATATTTTGATGAATTATATTTTCCAACATTAGGGGGAGAAATAAAGAAGCTGGAAAATAAAATCTCTTGAAAGGGATTATCACTTTCAGTTTTAGATCATTGTTCAAGTCAATGTGAACTTGAAATAAAAAAAAAAAAGATAATTCCTTTACAAAATGTACCAAATCAATTGTCAGAAGCATTTACTGACCCTAAGTGAGTAACAAAGTCTCATGTACCAGCTATTCATACTCCAGTTAGAATTGATATCCTAAAAGAAAAAAATACAATTGCAACTGAATCTTAGGCACCCCTGAAGCGTGGAAGATCAGCCGGTTCCAAAGATAAAAATCCTGGAAAATGAAATTGAGCAAATACAATTGATGGTCCAAAAGAGAAAACAAAATCTCTTGAAAAGATTAATGAAGTTCTAGAAGAGCCCAATAACATAACAAAAGAGTATAAGGTACCTAAAAAAATGAAAATGATGAGATTTCAATAAATTATATCATGACAAAAATAAGATGGAACCAACATAAGACAGAAGTCGACGATAATTTTTCATATCAAGTTCCGCGTGCAATTATAAAAAAAATGAGGATCTTGAACCTAAATCTATTAAGATGAAATAAATAAAGAGCTTAATTTTCTTACCCAATGAAAAGATTTTGGACCTGTAGTCCGTACACCAAACAGAGTGACAACAGTGGGACACGAATGTGTATTTGTGCGCAAAAGAAACGAGAAAAATGAAGTTGTAAGATATAAAGCAATACTTGTTGCACAAGGTTTTATCCAAAGGCCCGAAGTTGATTATGAAGAAACGTATTATCCGATAGTTGATGCAATTACATTCAGTTATTTTATAAGTTTAACAACATATGCAAAACTGGAGATGTGTCTAATGGATGTATTTACCGTTTATTTATATTGTTCACTTGGAAATGATATTTATATGAAAATCACAGAAGGGTTTAAGGTGCCAGAAGCCCAAACTTCTAATTCTCGTGAAGTATATTTGGTAAAATTAAATAAATCTTTGTGTAGATTGAAATAAACTGGTCGTATGTGCTTCAATTGTTTTAGTACATTTCTGTTGAAAGAGTGCTATAAAAATGATCCATTAAGCCCATGTGTATTTATAAAAAGATCTAGATAAGAATTTATCATAATTGATGTTATTCTAGATGATTTGAATATAATTGGAACTCCTAGAGAACTGGAAAAGGTCACTTCTTGTTTGAAAGAAAATTTTGAAATGAATGATATTGGTAAGATGGAATTCTATTTGGGTCTTCAAATTAAGTACACAAAAATGGAGTTTCTGTACATTAATATCTAGAAAAGGTACTAAAAATGTTTTATATGAATAACTCACATCCATGAGTAACCCGAAGGTGGTAAGGCACATAGATGCCAAACGGACCAATTTCAACATCATAAAAAACATGAAAATCTTCTTGTTCCCGAAGAACTATATCTTAGTGTTATTGGTGCACTAATATATATTACTATTAATACAAGACCTGATAAATCTTTTGTTGTAAACTTATTAGCAAGATATAGTTATTGTCCAACAATAAGATACTGGAATACAGTCAAGCACATTCTTTGATATCTTCGAGGTATATTGGATATGAATTTATACTAATTAAATTAAAAAAATGCGAAGTTAATTAGTTATGTAGATGATGGATATTTATCTGATCCACACAAAGCTCGATCCCAAACAGGTTATTTATTCACTTGTGGAGGTAACATAATTTCTTATCATTTTGTTAAACAAACTTTATTTTCTACGTATTCTAACCATGCAGAGATTATAGCAATTTATCAACCAAATCATGAATGTATTTGGTTAAGAGATTTAACTCAATACATCTGCAAGATTTGTGGTCTAACTTCTAATAGGGATGTTCCAACCATACTATATGAAGATAATACAACTTGTATAGCTCCTATTAAGGAAGGATTTATCAAATGAGACAGAACCAAGCATATATCACAAAAGTTTTTTTTTCACTCGTGATCTTCAAAAAGAGTGTGGCATCAACATCTAGAAAATTCAATCCAGTAACAGCTTTCTTGATTGGTTTACTAAAGCACTTCCTACATCGAAAATTGAAAAGATGGTACGAAACATTGCTATGTGGCACTTCAAGAAAATCAAGTGATGTGCGAATCAGGGGGAGTTGGAAACATATTGTACTCTTTTCCTTAGCTATGTTTTTCCCACTGAGTTTTCTTAGCAAGGTTTTTAACGAGGCAATTGTTTCCAATATCTATTATTAATCATGTACTTTTTTTCCTTAATAAAGGGTTTTTCCCATGAGGTTTT